TGCTGAAAAAAAAAGAAATCTGTGAATGAAGAGGACAGGAAACTGCTTCTTTTCATTTATGGGCGAAGCTTTCTGGCCAACCGCTATCGATACAGACCGTTACCGTAGGTGCGTGCCTTGCCGATACAGCGGGTGGGTGCGCTGCCACTTGTTTCATGGCAAGCAGTGTACTGTATGTAGCCGATATCGCGATTAAAGCCCCCCAACCAAACATTCGTCGCCACGTTTTAAAATTTTTTAATTTTAGTAAGCCCTGCTGCGCGAGTACAGTGGTTGTAACTTGTATCGCTGAATAGTTCGGTTGGTACTATAACGGGCATTTATTATGTTCTGTAGATGTCACTCCGTTAAATTAACCCACTTAACGATGGAAATAAAATAATGAGTTTACGCCAAAGCCTAGTATGTACAGACATTGGAGTAGTAAAACGACGATCGGTGCTACTTTATACTATACATAATACAGTTAATCTCGAAGGTTGTTACTTTATTCTGAAGGTAGGTTAAGTGTTGAAAGAGGCACATGGTAAAGCACACTGTCGAACCCAGCACGGCCAGCTAAAATAATTAACATCATTAACATCTTCATACAAATGGCAATAACCAGCCGTTACCTCTGGCCCTACTCTTTGGTTTCTGTTGTTACAGTTCTCACTCGCACGGCTTCTATTTTACGGGATTTTGGCGCCAAAGCGCCAGCCCAACGAAGAACACTGCGCAGTTTTCCATAAAATATGTCCCCTGCGAGAGGCGCATATAGGGCAAAGGTAAGCGAGTCGATTATTGCTCCCAGGGAGCCAACAAGTTGGGCCCACTGGTACAGAGTTGTCCATGATGGAAAAAATAAGATCGCTACAGGAACAGCCAGCCATAGGACAAAATCGATTGCTGTGGAAACCACGAAGACCTTGTTAGCACTCACGATAAGGGATCCGGAAACGGTCTGCCGACCTGCAAGATACAACAGAAGCAATGAAGACAGGTCCCGCAACGACACAAACATATGTCAGGTCTGCAACAAACCAAACCTTCCGGACAACAAAAAAGCGCTATTGGATCACCAAACTTTATGCTCTTATGTTAACGCATTCATCCAAAAATTTCACCTCTCTGGATAGCAAAATTGGGTAAGGAGACTCAGGACCGACGCGGTTTAAGCACACGGTCACACCCACATATCGTATGCCGACAACTTTTTCGGCTGTCAACCGCGTTACAACCACATTGTCCGCCTGTATTTCGTATACTGATAAAGTTTGGGAAAACTCATACAAAACATAAGTAGCGTATCGAAATCAAAGCTCCGTCGGGCATCTCGCTCTGCCAGACGTGTAAATATATAAGGTCAGATGCACAGGTTGCTCATATTTGCACGGAAGCTACAATCTGTTGTTTCTGTATGGCATAATACGGGGTAGCTCCTTTTCGTCAAACATGAAACGACGGCCACTAAATGAAATAATTTCCGAAAATATACCTTTTGCGGCTTGAGTGCGCTTTTGCTTTATACGTCTCATGATCAACACGTACGGCAGCGATCCAAAGACAATGACCAAACTAGCTATGGAAGCCATCCTTATCGTCACCAGCAACGTTGGCAGGACATTAAATCTCAATACACAACGACCACCATCGCCCGACCGTAAGAACAAAGTCAAAAGAAAATGCGGTAGACGAGTGGCGACCACTATAGCATGAAGAAGAAGACAGCCAGTTATTGACACCCATTTCTTATGATATGTCCGATATGACAGAGGAAACGTCACTGCCCACATCCGATTGAGAGCCAGTGGGATGTGCGCCGCCCCGGTTGCTGGACCGATAATCCAGTCATACAGAACGTCCATAGCGCACCAAAAATAACCGCGGTTGGCCTGTAGTCCGTGGACAACCATGCTCCAGCATGTGGCACAGGAGACGATCCAAGAAATCATGTGTGACAGCATAATGTTTATGAGGTAGATGTTATAGGCCGTAACAAGCCGCTTAATCGAAAGAAACACGGAGATTATCATGATCTCTATGAAGACTTCGAAAACTGGTACAACTGCTCCAACGTACACCAAAGCAACCCTGTGACTGGGTGCGGTATCACTGCCAGTAGTGGTATTACTTCGATTCATTTTATCGGGAAGCAGGAAGGCTTGGGAAACTTGCGCTCATTATTTCAGAAGCCTTCTTACAATTATTAGCTTTAAGTCCTAACAGAAAAGAGCAAATGCCGAAAAGCAGTATTATGCATATATGAATTATCTATTGCCGTAACTATATTTCTTAAGCTATCTTTTCTCTGGAATGAAACAACAAAAGCGAATTCTCGACCGATTGTCAGCATCTGCATTCTTCGCTCCGCTAAGCGAAACGTTGATGAAGCCGCTCCCTTGCTGCGCGCATTCTCTTTGAGAAACTCAATCAGCCAGCTGCAAGGAGCTTTGTGTAGTGTCGCATGCGCTATTCACCGAACGGCCTTTGGTTTGAAATGCATGCTTGAGTTGTTGCTTTTAATTAATGCCGGCTAATATTACAGCATAATACAGAGTTCGAAAAACTTCCGGCAATTTTAACAGACTAAGAACGAAGAAGGTGCAGCGGCTTATTCAGCTCAGCAATAATTGTTGTTTGTCTCTCGTCATACACAATCTATATGAACTCTGTCTATAATATGCGCTCTTTGTCTCCAGACTGGAAATGCCAACAGGAACGCAATGGGATGTTTAGACAGGTTCTTTCTGCATAAGTTTGGTACAAATTCTTTGAGCACAGCTAAACGCGGGACTGCGCTGAACAGTTCCCGAGCGGCTAAATGGAGAGTAAAGCAACGTTGACTAAAGAGTTTTCAGCAATGAAGCTGAATATGATTGCTGAAAGTCAGCAAAACCATACCACTTTACAGTGTAACATGGGTTTTGAAAATTGCCGGTGAGTTCAACACACTAAGAACGAAAAAAAGGTGCAGCGCCTTAATGACAACGGTCTGTTTCTTTTGGACAGGTTTAATCAAATACGTGAAATGCAAAATAGAAAGCGATACCGTAGAATAAAGAGACCTAAGGCAGGCACGCTAGAACTTCTCGCGAATGTGCGATGAAATAGAGTCGGCAAACAAACTGCTCGGTAAACAAACTGCTCGGTAACATCCGCGATGTCATCCGTGCAATCAGGGCGCATCTTGTCTGGCTGTCCTTTTTTCTCCATTCATGCTGCGCTGTCGACTGTTGACTAGCACATCAGCTGTGCTTCCGATGTTCGAGTGTTCGATGGTCCATGATTACGACTTCTGGATAACACGGCAGATATTTGTTCTGAGCTCTTTTGGCGGACACAGGCGGGCTTACAAAGGAATACACCAAAGTATTCCAACATTTCCTCCATTAGAATTAGGGTACCAGCAGAATTTCCGAACTCTCGACAAAGGCTAATGACTACAGAAATCGAGGAGGTCGTACTAAGCAGACACTGGTAATCTGGGAATTCTTTTATCGGTGCAGTACCGGACCAGCTGAGCGATTGTATAAATCCCGGCTTTTAAGCGTTTTAATTCACCACGCTGTCCAGCTTTTGATCTTTCCTTCAGCCGTTGCGTCTGAATGGTGGGAAATGTTTAAAATAACAGCTTTGATGTACGAGTACAAAAGACACCAAGGTCACTGAGCTAGAAATTTGTTAAGCATGCCTACACGATATACGATTTGCCAACTCACTGCACTTTGTACCGTTTTTTCATAAGTTCTTTTTGGGTTTGGCTCAAATACCGAATCCAAAGGTAGGGTATATCGAATCCAAAGGTGCAACGAAGAAATGAAATGGTAGGAATACAAAGTGGCTAGCGTTGGACTGTGGGGCGCCGTAACATCGGTAAACCACACGCTAGCCCTACCTACAGAACAAGCCAATGATCAGACAGTAAACGGTCACGTTGAGGAAGTAGCGTGGTGCGTTTTCTGCGAAACCTGCGTTTTAGATGGACAACTAAACTGCTCCGAGCAGCCGATACGCGTCGGCTAAGAGTATAAACACTTTACCAACCATCCGCGAACTAGCGAAAAAAATTGCAGATTAAATTTGCATGGCAACTCGACACTAACGGCAGGAAACATGAAGAGAAAAACTCTGAAAATAAGCAGCTTTGTCTGTCAGTTTAGACTGAGATCCAATTAAAATCCGGTTTGCACGTGCCAATAAGAAAATATTTCGCAATCACAGGTCAGACACCATACTCCCCAACGAACTGATGACTCTTACTTAAGCTGTTCGCTCCCTTCAGCTGCCGTATTTCGACATACAATTTGCCGTTAGTTCAAAACACCGGTTTCTTTATTGACGAGCCGCGGAGTTGCTTAATAAGGTTTAGGACCGCGCCGTTTTAACTAGTCTTTCAGATACCGTACATTTTTTAGTTTTCTTTCTCTTGCTAACTGGGCTCTTTGACTTGTATGATGGCGATAGTGTGATGACGAGCAGAAATGTACGAGTACATCGCTATATAATATGGGTAGTATCACTGCAAACCATGACCGAGTTGGTGGCGCGCGGTCAGCATTATTGTTAATCCTACTTGGAAGCAGGTACACTAGTACACCTATATCCTCCTTATTTGCGGACCCTTTTTCCGGAACAGGTGTAGCGTGGCATCCAATAATTGCAAAGCAAATTATTGTGTCTGTCACAAATGTACAGCCGTAGGCACGTGACGAAGCACTGCTCATGTTAATTGGATGTAAAACTTGAAATCCATTAAAACGGAGCATTGCGTTCCGATCGTAATTTCAGAATTCAAGTTGTGAGCCATGGCCCAAGTATAAATCGATCACTCCAAACAGCGTATGTTATTCGGTACTGTTACTATTTGACAAAGCGCAGTCAATTTGACAACAAGGTAATACTTCAGGGAATTTGCAAAAACTGATGCACAGTAATCTTGTATGCAGAAACGTCAGCAGATATTACGAGAGAACAGCTCTCCAAAGTCGTTTTAACAAAACGAAAATTTTTATCTTGTATCAATTACAGTGTAATAAATTCTTCACTGCTTTTCGGAGACCGGGAAGAGAGGAGTGGTAAATGAGCGGATTGAACATGCAGCTTGTGTACTGCAGACACGTTGCTACAGCGTACAACGTGTCATTCCAGTAATCGGCAAATTCCACGGATAGATAGTATATTGTTGGCGGAACGAAGCAAATCAGATCGCAGAGAACTAGCAAAGTGAATAATCGATATTTTTTTATCTCGTCGGCGCATCCCTTCCTCTGCATCCTCCTTGGGGTGCTTGAGGTGGATGCAAAATTTTTAATGGAGAATTCGGCCATGCTCTGCTCCGGTGGAGGACCTAAACAGATAGTAAAGCTATATAAATACAAACTGCAGAACCCTTTCATTGTTTTGCAGGATACAGTGAAAATAAAGGCAAGAATGCAACAAATCGCAAACGAAAGTTTACTTAATGCTACTTTATTGGGTAGAAAAAATATGATAAAAGATTTTGCATCAGGCTGTCTTTTCTCAAATTTGATTTTTTATTTTGCGCAGTTAGAGTTAAAGCTTTACTTCATTTACCAGTTCGATTCCTGTGTGACCGGCGATTCATTTTGAACATGATAGCAACGTAACTGCTTAGCACAAACAACAGCGGTGTATCGAAACCGAGAAATTCCAAGACGAGTGTGTAACTCGGTTGCGCATCGTAATTAATGAAACACGGTAGCGTCATTGTATCGTAATGCAGAGCGTCCATTATGACCATGGGCGACACCAGTGCAATGACAAAGGTCCACATGATAATGCAGCTGATTGATGTCCACCGCACCGAATGCATTCTTCGATGGTACACCGGAGCGAATACGGATAGTAGTCGGTCAATGCTCACCAACACCACGGTGTAACCAATCCCGACAAGAAAGTGGGCATTGAAAAAATTATAATATGGACAGTAACTGCCACTGGACATTGGAAAGGCAGTGAACCAGATAAAGCCTGTCATACTGAACAATGCCAAGCACAGATCGCATAAGGAAACATTCAGCAGATAGAAAGCAAACGGTGTCCGCAGCGCCGGAGTGCGTATAAACGACAGTATGAACAGAATGTTGTAAGCAACAGTGGCGGTGAATATGACACTAACAGTGGCCGTTAATGTGTGCGGTACTGCAGTTGAAGTTGCACTGATATTTGATGGAATTTCAGAAGCGTTGAAGGTCTGGTTAGGCTTGAGAAATGCTGCCATTTTTTGTGGGAGCAAACTCAGGTTTGAAACCTAAAATCTTTTCAAATGTGCAGTTATACCAGAGGAATTAGTGGGCCAAGGGTGACTGGTTTCAGTGGCAACGCAACGAAGCAATCTAGTCTGTGTGGGTCGCCATCATTATACGCTTGTTAGGTCTCGTGTCAGTTCTATAGCAGCCGTACGTCAAAGTTTAGTAGTGTCATGCGGGAGTTCGCTAATTGCCTGACGGAAGTCGCTCAATCTACGTATTCACCCTGTCTCACCCACGCCCTCCGGCCGGTAGAACGCAGCACGAAGAGAAAGTATTAATAAGCCTCGGCAAGCAGTTCCGTTTTCCATGGATCAGCAATTATCTGTCTCCTGTAAAATGTCCCTCCAATTTTCTCAGAAAAGTGTATTGCTGCTTTGTCACTCTCGAGTCTTGACAACATATGTGTTAAGGTTTTATGGAGTTTATATTAAGGTTTTTTTAAGGCTTAAGTTTATCTAGCAACACCCCTAAATCTGGTATGCCAAAAAACAGCCCGTCCGTGTTTTGCTTTATTGCGCAAAATTGTTCTAAAGAAATTATGGGAGACGAAAGACTTCAAAGAATGATATAGTCGGCTTTCCTTTGATAAGTTTATTTATGTTTTTCTAGTTTAACGGCAATCCAGCTTCTCATACTGAAAGGATGCAGGATGTGCAAGCAGGCCGTCCGCCGATTTTTCTGCTTTGCCCCGCTTCAGTGGTAATTGCTAGATGTTGAAAATGCCAGTATTTGTGTCATTTTTACGTCAGCAGAATTGATTACTTCCTGGTATTGGCATCTCGTCACTTTTATACACGGGAAAATTGGTTCCAGTTTGTGTCAGTACGCGACTGTAACGAACGACTGGCATGGTTTTCTCGGGACGAGGAAAATTAAATCACCTGGGATTTCGTCCGCGTAACTTCAACGCAAGCGATACGGGCCTACGGCAAGCGTTTCCTCCTTCTTGAGAAAATCCGGCTTGTAAAGAAAAACTGCCAGACGGAATGATCTCGGTGTTTGGCACGAAAATTATATTCTGAGTCGTGAAATTACTGCCATGATAGGATCGACAGTTTAATCGATATCACATCTGTAGCACCTGTAACAACATACAGTATGTAAAGGCCGAACCAACGAAATGGTGGTCAGTATTACTGCGACGCTGCATGTCTGGTTAGTACGGTTTGTACGACCCAAGCAGCCGGCACCAAGCCATGATTTTACCAAATAAACAATGGTATCATGGGGCAAAAAAGGCCAGTAATAAAGGAAGTGGTTATTTTTATCTAAACCTATTTTGTCTGAACGACTTGCTTTAAGCCCGCTGACTCTAGTTCAACAACAGTCCTTTTTATTCGCGCCTTTAGATCTTCTCTAAATTTCATGCAGTCAGTTACTGTACATAGTCATTTACCGTGATCACTGATGTACAAGTAATTGTAGTGTTACCAGTGTGTACAGAGTACATTCAGATTATTAAGTCTAACTTCTATACATAACGATCACGATGAGTTCACGTACGTGGTGGTAAACTGCAGTTTACAAAGAGTCTTTGACTTCGAACTACAAAACACTCAGTGAAGGCGTACCGCGAAACAAGTTACATATCCGGAAACCGCTACCTGTACATCAAATCTTTTCCTTAAGGTGTCCACATTCATTGGCGTAATGCACGTTTGAACTTTGAAGCAAATCACATGAAGTAGAGCAAAATGTTATGATTTAAAACTGAAGTGAAACGTGCCGATGAATGTTTCGTTTTGGGGTTTTGAATGGCGATAGTCGACTACATATACTTCATGCCATGAAACAACTGGCACGGCACCCGCCCGGTGTATCGGCAATCCACCCGCCCACGGTAGCGGTAGGCAGCGATAGTGATTGGCCAGAAAGTTTCATTCATGAATGAAAAGGAAGGATTTCCCCTCCCTCTTCATTCACTGATTTTTTGGATGAATTCACGTGATCGTCATCCAGATTTTCGTTTCCTACATACTGTGAATTCATTCAATGCATGATAATTTCTATACATAGTTGCTGCTGAATGATAAATTTGAATGAAAAAACGTGCATTCATTCAATGCATGTGGACACCTTTAACGACCGATCTTCTTCAGACCTTGAGGAAAAACGCTAGTACTACAGTATTTTAATACGAGGTTTGTCTTAGCACGGGACAAACAATTACTACTCCTAATGGTTGACATTCTAGTAATCTTCGTTCATTCATGATTCATGGCTCATGCCTAGTCGTGTTGTCGTCTCCGACAACATGCAACGCTCCGGTTTGACGTTAATTATGATGCTTCAAACGAACATAAGCACGTAATTTAATGTCGCTACTTTCTAGGGAAAAAATCATTCAGAAATTCCCATTAGAAACAAAACTATTAACATATACATAATTTAGTCATGACCGAGCGTATTGTGAACTCGTCTTTCCATCAATTTTTTATTATTGTAATAATTATAATGTTAAAACTGTGCGTCAAGTGTGCGACAGCATGATTCACTTAACAGCCACCCCTGGAATGTTGCCCATCTGCGTGCACCTCACCGTCAACCGTGGATGGGTGCCCTGATTGACAGTGGCCAAGTTAAACGTGGATTGCCAGCCCTCCGCGGTTGACTGTTAAGTCAGATTTGCTGCCACACGAGTGTTAAAGTGTCTTGACTATTCGAACGCGCTACCGAAGATGCTTGTTCCCTCCTCGTAGTGCTTGTAGATGTACACAGTACTTAAAGGCCACAGTAGATGTAGCAATTGCCAAAAGATTCGGAGCAGAAAATATAAAGTAAATAAATTAGCCGTACACGCAGCCAGCACCCGTGCAGACCCCAAAAGGCCATCCGTGCACCAAACCAACGACACGGTGTCGACATCGACTAACAGTTCGGCGACCTTCATGAGTACGACTGCTAAGAAAACTGCAAAACATATATGACTCGACGTTATGACCAAAAAATGTTGTCGGCTTTGATAACGTACACTGCTCCGAGACATTTTTAGGTTATTAGTACTACCCTACTAATCAGGCGATTAGACGAACATAAGCATGCAATTTAATGTATGTAGTTACTTTCTAAGAACATATTCATTCAGAAATCCCCATCTGAAATAAGCACATTGTCAAGTATTTCTGAGTAATGTAATTATAAACAGCACGACCGAGCGTATGGTACACATGTGCAAAACATGCAACATTTCATTAACAAGTCTACGATAACTTAGTGGAATCTCTGTTAAATTATAAAATAATAAAAAGAGCTTGTAATGTACCCACATATCAAAATTAACAATTCTTGTTGAATGCATCAGACCGGTTTCTGCAAAGGTTCGTACGGACTGTGTATATAGGGGGCAAAAGTAAATGTGTTCCACCGTTCCCCTGTACTGCTGCCGTCACCCGACTGGAGTTTGACGTTGTGGCTGAACATGGCGCTTATGTACCGCGCCAGATTTAACCACATGTACTGCCGTAACGTCACACTCCAGGCGGGCGACGGCAGCAGTACGGGGGAACGGTGGAACGCGTTTACTTTCGCCCCTTATATATGTATTTTGTATAAAATCGTTAAATGCGTGTACGCGTGTGTTTACTATACCTGTACAGCTGTAGAGCAAGATGCATTTAAATTTATCTTTGAGATACAAATGCGTATTTTGTTTTCAGTAGAAAACAAATGCATTTTGTTTTACACGCACTTCTCTCAACAATGTACAGATACGGTATTCAGACCCTTGACACAAAGGTAAGCCGAAACTCGGATAACCCTTCATTGGTTAGTCGTGAATCGTTCTAAAAGCTGTTAAGTGAGGGAATTTTGGAACTGGTACCAGTTGAATAAACTTAAGAAAACAAAAAGCAGTGTGGGAATACTGTACAGTAAATAGCATAAATTCACCAATTATCGTATGCTGGAAGCAGACGATAAATCCATTTCTCGTAGGCCGGACGCCCGGAAGATGCCACATAAAGCGGCCGGACAGGTAGGAGACGGATAGGCCCATCGTTTATGTACCCTTCCCGACCACTGCGGAATAATAACAATAATATTATGTCGTTACAGCAAAGCTTGTGCATTAACAAAACTACAGGTACGTGACAGATTGACAATATTTTCCCGTACAAACCGGAATGTTGATTTCTGGCTTGGTGTTGTCCGTATCGGGATTTGCGTTAACGAACTAAAAAGCATTATTTTATGTTATAAGTGTCAGCCTTAAAAGAACATGCCCTGTACATACTTACAAGGAAGCACAGAAGCAGCAGACATGTCCATTGTTGTTTCAGAACATTCATTATGAAAAACGAATCCAACAAAGACCTTCATAGAGCTAAGCACTCTCGTACTGATGCGAATTCCACTTATTAAACTTAACATAACTATGCAATTTGCGGCTTTCGGCCTTTTATATCATGCCGTGACACAGCGCTGCGGTAACAAGGTTATTTATTAACTGTCACGGCTGTTTTTCCAAACTTGTGAGAGAACACACATGTTTTGAACTGTCAAGTATGTGTCACAGTATCTGCCTTTAGTGCTTTATGGTTACTGTTTAATGTATGTTCAATGCTACTATTTCCTTGGGATACTTGAAACGTAGAGACTTTCGTATCCTTTGTTACTTCTTCCAAAATTAACATGAATGTCGATTTACTATTGATTACCGCCTGTTTATTCTCGCTATTGGGTATGATCACGAAAAAACACGAAAAATTCTTCTTCCTTTGCCGATAGTAGTGACTCGCAAATGCTTCAGTTTGTTAGAAGAAATAACCAAGTATCCTGAACATCGATCGATTCGTTAACGTAATTTAACAAGGAGACATTTAACATACAAAAAGATTTTATGAAAAGCAGAAGCGCCGGAAGTTGCACGCGTACAACAACTACACCCCATAACAGTTGTAATGTCACTGGATTCTGTAGAATGAAATAACAGGACAACTCATCATTTACATCACTTACAGAGATCGCTGTATACTGTAATTTCTGTAAATGATTTCATTTGGCGCAAACTTGGGCTGGCCGAGACGGCCCAAGATGGTTGAGTGGAGTGGATATGCTTAGCAAGTTTGCTGTGTTTGTCTCAGGAGGATCAGGGAGATTCTTGTCTGTGGTACCAGACCATGAGCAGGCGCCATCCTATAAACATCCCCTTTACCAAGCGTCACATAAACAGCTGATTTCCATTTTCCAGTACATTGTTTATTATACATTCGGCATACAACAGGTGACACGCAACGTTCGACCGGCGTATTTGTATGAGAAAATACGAGTAATAAACGGCAATATCGTGTGCATGTTGCAATAAATAACTTGTTTATTTATTGCTACGTTGGGTTTTCCTACATACATGCTTGTGGAGAGTGCGTGGAATCTGTGCACGGCGGGGAGCATACTTTCTAACGCGTTCGTGATCGATCATTCGCATAGCGTACGTGTGCCAGCAGGGCGAGCATGCACGGCATACGATTTTGCATAAATGCACAGAATGAAACTAAAAGCCGCTAAAATAGTAACTTAAGTCTTGCTTATAATCAAAGCGTTCCTATTTAGGTATTATCATATAGCACCCTAGTTGTTACGCTTGGTTGCAACTGACCGAGCGTGAAAAGGTTTTACCATATGGCCGCGGTCAGTGCTCACCATGCGGGCCAGGATATAGCGAGCCTTGGTTATGCCCAGCCTGTTAACCAGGGGTCAGAGGATGTGGAAATGTCGGTTCTCTGGGTGGAACACCTGCTGACCATACAACTACCAGTCATCGGCCGACAACTGCCAGTGGGTGATGTTGGCAATCCCAGTTCCCAGTACAAGCGGTACATACTGTACATGTGCTGTTTTCATCTAATTTTCTCAAACCATGATTGCTTCCCAACATTTATTTACTTGGGCAGTTATCTGTATGTGTACTTACATTTTTATAGACTGGTCACTGTCCCGGTCCAGAGGACACAGGTTCTTTACTTCGGTACTTCTCGCATTCCAGACAATGCACTGAAATAATGTTTTTGCATATCGGTTACTGTTTAGACATGAAATCATCCGCCTTGTTACATTACAATGCAATGTTCCACATTACAAACTTTATGAAAGTCTATCAAATTATGTCATAATTTAATGAATTTCATAAATTTTGTGTATAAATTTGTATAATGGCAGTAATTGTCATTTCATCTATTTTCAAAAAGTTTCTGATGTGAAACAGCGGAGTGAATTCCGTACTTCAGTTGCCCGAGGGGCGGAGGCATATTGTGTAAGTGTCCAGAATGCAAAAAACAGTAAAATATTCGCTCGAAGGTTTCACCAAAACTTTGTTGCTGTCCTGTTTTGCTAGCTTATGGGTAAAATTTCATGGCAAAGCTTTTCGTAATTCGTCATTTCTCTAAGCTTAGCTTTGCCAGGAATTACCTTCGTTATCGGTTTAGGAATGGTTTTAGGGATATTTTACTATAACTCTAGCTACGTCCGTAATGTCGTATATGTTTAATAAAACTACGGAAACGCCCATTAGTCATATAGTACGAGTAGGCAGTAGTACTAAACTGTATTACGTATAACCACATGTGCAATTTTACGTGCTACGCGCATTTGCAGGAACGGAAACATTCTGGGAGCGGTGTGGGGATTGGTCACGTACCTACTGGACATCGGCAGCGATTGGTCAGTCGCGCATTATGCTGTCATTCGTGTTTTTTATGACATAACGATGCCGTCTGGTAGGTACCTGGTTGTGACATACTTTCTTGATGGCCACATCGTCTGGGCCTGCTTGACCTTGGCCTTTATTCTCGTACCGCAGCTATTCATCGCCTTTATCGGGCTCATGTGGTACAAGCCCATCTACGCATTCAAGGATATGATACGCGGCCACCAGCCAGATATCTGTCGAACGTACTTTATCTTGAAAACCGAAGGTAGTCTTGACAGTGACAGCATCATTCATCTGCTAACCATCCTTACCAGCCATTCCTCGCAGGATGTTCGGTGTTCTACCGACCGCGTGGTCTATTATATTTCTTTCTACATCTTTTGCAACTGGGCCCCGTTGTGCGGTAGGCCACAAACTTTTTAAATCGTAGCAGAAGGCTAAGTAACCTGAAGAACGAAAATCTTAGGACACTATTGCAATACGTTGAATCAACTCTGCAGATATGTGGACTACCTCCGCTACAGCCCTTATTCAGAATCGGCGTCCTCCTACCGATTTTGGGCCAGCCAGCTCTCCATCACCGCTCGTCTCCGCTTCCTGGAATCCTGCCTCGAATCGCTGCCGCAGTTGGTGCTGCAGATCTACATTGTTTTGACCTTTGGGTCGCCTTTCCATTGGAGCGTGCTGCAAGTCACCCAAATCTGTTCCATTGTCTTCTCACTCATTTCCGCCACGGCTGGCATCGTTCTGCTCCACGGTGCCGTCAACATCCGCCGCAAGCTCCTCCGTAATCCGGCCATCCGCTTCTGCCTTCCGGCACAATGTTTGCTCGGCCCGTTCCTACACTTTTTTGGCCGATTGTTCATCCTCTCCGCGCGCTGCTTCACTATTGCGGTTAGTGTACGGTATTTCCCTGGAATCGCTGGGGCCGTGTTATGCGGTCATTTTATTACGATGAGCGTTTGTGTGCGTGTCTTCGAATTGGGTCACGTTTTGAGCTGGACGCTGTGCGACACCCGTGGCATCCGGGTCCGTGGTGTCAGTCGGATTATGGGTGCATTGGTGCGCTACGTCATCGTGCCGTTTATGTATTTGTTCGACTATGTGGACGAAATGGACAACGGCGGTTTAGGTCGGAAAAAGTACTTTCCTTGGTTATACTGTGCCCTGCATTTCACCGAAAATGCTGCGTTGCTGGTAGTGTGTAGCGGATATTCATGGACGGCTATAGCGAGCGTACTGGGCATATCCTTTAGCGGAATGGGTTTGGTGCGGTTGTACTGCCGTTTGTATGTTTTCGGTACGGATCTCATCACGGTGGCCAGTAATACGTTGGGGTTCGAGAATTTCCCGGCACCTTTAACCGTGAATATCCGCAGTAACGTGGACGGATAAATACCTCGTATCACAACTACCGATTCGCGCGGAAATTCCGCATGGTGACAGTTACATCACCATTAGTTTTGGAGATGTTGCGTGCAGCATCCTTTGTTAGCCAAGCATTTTTGCAGTCTCAAACATTTTTTTTCCGTAGAATCAGACTGAAAGGATTTCTATAAATCTACTGTATATATTCTGGGCTGTTCGATGTATTTTTTTTAGAGCTTAACGCTTTGTGTTGCTCTTCGACGCCCGTAACTGTAACGCTGTAAATGTCCGCATAATTCTGAACACCTTTAATTTTTACATTACGAAAGTTTGGTAGGGTGATGGGTATTTCGTAATAATCAATGGATAAGCACTACTCTTTATGCGATGCTTGATGGTTTGGGTTACAATGTCTTTCAAGTCATTTCGCTTGCATTATCCATTTTTCCCCAACTTTGTATTAAATCCCTTGGAATTTACGCCGGCTAACTACTATCAGAATAACATCCGTCAGGGTCGTTAAGTGATATAAGGTATTGATTCCACAAAGATTGTAGTTCCACGAATTCAAGGGAATGCTGTAATTGGTCGACGCTGAAATTAATGAAATAATAACATCTGATCGCATCCACATGACGCCAATTATCATGTAGTTTCTCGCTGCAAAGCACGCAATGTGACCTCATATCCACTGATCTCGGCAGCGGTAGAATTACCTTCATAATCTGATACCGTTTCTTTTTCTCCTATTCACTTCCCTATAGGAAATCGAAACATCCTGTTAACGTCTAATTACGCCAAGAAAGACAGAAAGAAATGTGTACATACATGATTTCTTACTAACGATGCCGATAAAGAAAAAGAATTTTCTTGTACGCTCGTCGAGGTGTGCTTCGGTGGCTCTTCTCTCAACACATGTCACGGTGACATGTGTTACAGAAACCTTTCGCTCCAATTTTCATAAATTTAAATTTAGCATTCACAATGTTGATGACTTTCAACGCAACTGCCAACGCCTCGACAAATTCAACCGTCAATTTAATATGGCCGCCAAAATACAGTCACTTTTCGCTGCTCATGGGAGTGCGATTGCTAATCGCCGTATCCTCGTTTCTGTTCAACTTGGCCATCGTTATCGTTTTCGTCACCCGGCCTTCGTACATCAGCCGCTTCACAATCTATCTCTTATTTCTATACCTCGCCAATACGATTTATCTGGCCGGTGCGACACCGTTCATCTTCATCAGCGAACTATACGACGTGGAAATCACCACATTTGGAATGCCGCTTTGTCTGGTATTCACATATTTCCATTTCGTAGTCAGCGTTCTACCGGTCATGTATCACCTACTGATCGCGTTAAACCGATTTTGGGCGGTGCGATTTCCGCAGAACTACCGCGTCCATCACACCAAAAAGACGGCGACTCTTATCTGCTGCGCTATAGTTATCGCTAGCCATTTGATAAAAATGCCACAGGTTTTGGTTATGAAACCGCTTCCGTACCAATCGAAACCAGACGGAGCGAGATTCTGCACGAGCGATCCTGTAATGACTTTGTTGACCTTAACGAAGATCGACAGCTTTCTCAGCCGATTTGCCCCGTTGTTTCTGATTATCGGTGTGTATCCGTATTTGGTTATCAAACGCTTTCAGGCGAAGAAGAAGGTCGAACGCGCGCCGGATAGTCTCAGCGTATCGATGAAGACAACGGAACGAGTGAAGCTAACGAAGCCGGTAAAGCGTAACGCTGTGCGCCCGTTCTTGATTTTAACGCTAACCACGATTAGTGTAATTGTCTGCTGGTTGCCGCTGGATATTTCATATTTCTATCAATGGATGATCGATACGACCATCTCGTGGACGATGTTCACGACGGTTCAGTACTGCCATATGCTGTATACGCTGCAGATCCTTTTCGATCCGCTTATGTGGATTATTAGCATGCGCAAAACCAAATAATAAATGACTGCATCATTTATCGGTTACCTCTTCATACTGCCAACACGGTCCACATTGTCGGCCCAATACGTTTTGTGTTTAAAATTTAGATCTGAGACATCGACAAAGTGACCTTAGCGAAAATCATTGTGTTTGGTGTTTAGCTACTCTCCCTGGTGATTAAGTTACTTTCCGTATTTCAACCAAGTCACATGCCATGGATGTCGATGCTCTTCAGATTTCTGTTTGCCCATTTTGTGGATTCTGAATTTGATTCATGGTTAGCCCGCCATCTGCTATCCGGCTTTAGTTGCCGTTTCTCCAGCACTGAAAAAGTCGCCAAGCGGTAGTCAAACTTCAAAATGATAAAAGCAATGTTGAATAAGTTATCTGTATAAAACTAGAATTTTTATCTTTCTGGGAATCTTTTAGCAGCCAAAGAACATAAACAGAATTCGCTGTCGTACAGAAGCTGGAGTTTTTAATCGTTGATAGCTTTTGCGAGTTAGAAAAGCCATATCGGGTTTGAAAGTATTAAAAGACTACATTAGAATAGACAAATATTGAGAAATACAAGCAACCGTTCCCGTGAGGAGAGTACCAGATTTCTAAAAGATTTACTGTATACATTTCCATGTAAGTAATGTGGACGCTATAGATTTCTTCAACTGTACTTGTTATAGTAACGGGAATTACGGGAAGAACGTTACTCAGCATGCAGTGCTTGGATAGTATTAGCACCACTGCTGGTGGGCCGGCCGCGTTTGCTAGGACACAAGTTGTGCATCCCTGGGCATACAGTAGTCTGCAGGAGGAAGAGAATCATGAATGCGCGATGCGCAGAACCGAAGCGAACTGCATGCTCACTGCTGCATTTACATTCCAAAAATTTTCACTTACCTACCTACTTTTTCTAGTTAAAGCGCACTGAGGATACGGTGTGATCACGAACAAAGTCACGGTTCTTTACGACTTTGATTCCTGTGTTATTAATTAGGGTGGTCAAGCCACCGATAGCATGAACGCGACATCATTGTATTTCCGGAAGCTGTTTACTCGTGCGCGCGAGTTGAACTACGGGAATACAGTGCTGGTACTGCGCAACCGACAATGGTGGCTGGGATACGTTCCGGATATTGACGGCGAACACTTCTTGGTGGACATTGATGCCAGGACAGTTAGTGCTCAATGGATTCATTCCAGCACTGTCTGGCCACATCACTTTCTTCAGTCCACCGAGGAATCTCACAGGGGATCCATTGTGTACGTTGCAGTGCGGCAAACTGATGTTGAACCAATGGGTTTTCGCAAAGGCATCGTTATTGAGGATAAAAACGTGTGTTCTACACTGTACCTGAATGATCACAATCCTCCCGGAATGAATCCAACGTCCCCGGCCTGCGTCACCGTGTTGCGGAATCATATCGCTGCAAAGCTGCCGCCGGTGCCTGGCGATGGTGGAAATTTTTTCGGGCGAACGACTGGGTTTTTGTACAAGAAACTTGTCATTGAATTCTCCAGAGCCCATTTGTTGCCGAATGTGGATTTTCTACCAAGATTTCTGGCTCGTACATGCATATTAGCGCTGGCGCTGCGCCCCGGCGACGGACGATGGAATGCACACACCCAGTTTAAAAAGTTCGTCCTGGGAAAACAGGTAGACTTTCGACTGCTCGTACCTAGTAGGTGGTGTGTGTATACACCATCGGAACGGGGGGGGGAGGCGTTACTACGTCGATGTCGGGTGTCGCCTGTTTTCCCGTTTGGGATCCCATACGATTACATTCGTCTGCGCCGAAATACATGAGGACAACCACAGCCTCTTTTGGAGTGACATCTCGCTGAAGGATGCTTGCGATTGCTGCCTTACGACCGGAAATTTTTTCATCGACAGGGTTTCATGGAAAGTTCGCCACGATGGTCAGTGTAAACGTTTCAGATCTGAGCAAAGATGCTGTCATTATCCGGCAGTATTTAAGACTTCCCGCGGTCTGCCGTTCAGTTTCGTAGCCACCTCTGCGATGCCTAAGATGTCCGTCAATGATCTTCCGCATCCCAGCGTGACTTTCATACTGCTCCATCTTGATCTGGATTCGCAGTTCCAGATAATCAGGTAGCTGGATAAAGTGTGTGCTCTGTATCAAAAGTACAGGGTCTGGTGTGCCATATCTAGGGAGCCACCCAAATTAATTTATTTTAAAATTACTTTATTGATAACTACTTTTTTTTCCGAAGGCTTTAGGTACAAAATTCAGTGATGCAAAAACCTGCCGCGAGAATGCGTTTCAAAACTGCGACGCCATTCACAAAATCTTCTTATATTACACTTCCCGCTCGATTCAGCAAGAGCATTGAAATACTGTGACACACCCCATTTTGCATAATCGGAACAAGGACAAGTTATTCTGAACGCCAGCTCACAAGTGCGGCCAGATGTCCTTAATAACTCTCCCGTTTCACCGAACATTTAAAATCTGTTTGTTTGAACACGTTAGCACATCCGGTATATAGAGCCAGACTCGTGTACTTTTACGGGAACTTACGCTGTCGCGCAATCCCAAATACTTTTTTGCATTGCTTTACGGCATCTTGTAGCCAAAAGATTTGTACACGTAGGCATGAAACCCGCGCCGTTTGCGCGCATAACAACCGGCTGGAAAGTTATGGATGAATCAAAATTCAAAAAAGTTTAAATTCATTCAGCTGTACCGAATGATGAAAGTCAGATTATATCGATATTACTCAAATTTTGCACGTAGATGTACAAATGTACATTAGTATACAGATCGTTTTTTCATCGAACCAAAGTTGCAACATTTTTTTCAAATTTTAAAATGAATTTCAAAATTGTTTAAAATTATTTTAAAATTCGAAAAATGTATGGGTTTATGTGTGTACCAATGTATGTCTTAATATGTAAAAATGTAAATGTAGTGCGCATGTCTAGTTTTAGTTTTGGAAAACTTGTTGCTTTCAGAATTGTTTAAAAAAATTTTGCAAATGAAAATTTTTGCACGTTTTCCCGATGGTGAAGCACCATAATTGTAACTCACAATTTGTAAGTGTTGTTAAGCTTGTGTTCCTGT